GGAGGAGGCGGAGGAGCAAGGCAGCTGACATAAAATCTAACAACTCTCACCTGACAGGTGGGGAAAAAGACCATCCAGTTCGCTGAAACGCAAAGGTACAAGAGAGATAGATGGATGTTGCTTCGGGTGGAGGGATTGGACTCTAAGGTTTAGCCCCAGTTTTGGGGGAGGGCTCTAGGCCCAAATCTGACCAGGAGCCCCGACCGGTGGTGAACTCTGGGCGGACTTGGCAACGGAAGCACTGATCGAACGGAGGATCCAGGTGATGATGGTTGGAACAAACTCCGGAAGTAGGACTGACTCAGTTTGCCTGGAAATAGAGGTTGACCCTTTTTCACCTGTTCTTGTTTAAGTGGGGAAGCCAATTCAAAAAATGGTGTTACAATGTGTTACGGTGATCCACGTACTTCCTGAGTCGGAGGACGGGCTGTTTTCATGGAGCATCTGTGCTGTTTTCCGACACTCCGTGTCGATTTCATTAACGCCGCCCCACACAGACCGCGACTTCAAGCACCCCTGGCCTGATCGGTACTACTTATCTACTCTTCGTCCCCCCCGACTCGGTGATCGCCACCTGCCCGCGTTCTCACCCCGCACGACCCACCACCAATAACGCACGCTCTCGCCGCAGCACCCCACGCCTCCAAGGAATCCTCGTGGATCGGACACGACATGTATGCCACCATGTTTGGATACCAAGACGTCCTGACGAGACGAGACGACGGGCATCCGGAACCACGGGCATCATCGACCGCGGGTGCTCGGAGGAGGAAATCGAGGCATCCGGAACCAGAACCAGACGGTGGCTGCAAGAAATCCTTGGATTTACTGCTTGCCATTTACTATGATGGAACACCGTGATCGAGCCTTTATATAAGAGAACCAGCTGCAAGAAATCGTTGGATTGACTCCATGCCATTTGCCATTTACTATTATGATGGAACAGCCTGTGGAGCAACACTGAGTCATGCATTTGATGGAGCAACACAGGCGCATCCTTGGTTCACAGCCAATCACTTCGGCTCTCTTTTGCGCAAAGAGGATGCTCTTGTGCGTGCAAACATATCCCACCTGGGCAGGGGCCATGGCGATGTGCATGAACACATATGATTTTGGAGGATGTTGATCTGCGCGCTGAACAATGTATAGTCAGTCCCATGTCCCATTCGTTCAACAGTCCAATCCCACCTCGTTCCAACCAAGCACAAAGAGAGCCACTGGAAAGAGCAGGACTCCCATGCAACACATCGACAAAGCATTCGTCATTTTGGTGGCCGGGCGATCTTCTTGCACATACCTGGGTGGGGTGTATGCCATCTGTGCAAAGAAGAAACTGCTGTATAGACTGTATAGACTCTTCGATTCACACAAGCCACCCAAAGATGATTCCAGAAGTGGATGTGTTACTAATCCAAAATGAGGGGGTGTTACTAATCCAAGAGTCTACATTGTTCGACTCTCTCGGATACCTTGGGCTGGTACCTCACTACCTCACCGTCCCAACAGTTTCAGCGAAAATGGTGCGACTTGCGTGTCTCCAACGGCCAAGCTGCTCCACATCATTCGGATTTGGTCCCCAACCTCCAGGACCAGGGGGGCCACCCCAACCACCAGGACCAGGAGGAGGGCCGCCCCAACCCTCTGGCCCTGGAGGGCCGCCCCAACCGCCAGGGCCGGGAGGAGGGCCTTGCGGACCTCCCCAATCCATGGCCACGTGCGACACCGAATTGTTTTTCGGCGCCAAGCTTGGGCCAAAACCGAAGCATGCGACTGCGGAGATTGATTTGGAAACCACCCAAGAAGAGCAATGGATGCAAATGGCTAAATGGATATAGCATGGACCGGATGTACGGGTCTATGATCATCTATGTCTGATCTCACCCCTGGCCATCGGACATTTTCCGAATCCTCGTCTTGTCTTGGAGCACCCAAGGGATCTGGTTGGTCCTAGTGACTGGTGCCATGCTCGCTCTTCTCACCTGGCGACTTGAGGATGTTCCGGATGGCACCTGCCGTGTCGCCGAGAAGGAAGGTTCCATCCGGAATGGCTTAGACGCGGTGTGGAACGAGGACCCAGGGGCAGTCGCGCAGAGCATGAAAAGAGGCCGAACAACCGGCCGAAGGCCCTGGGATTCCAGTCGCCCACCATGGTTTTGAGGGTCTTTGCCTTGAGGTCCTGAGATCCTTCAGTTTTGACCCACTGTCAAACTGAATCTGAAAAGTCATGGTTTCTCCAACAGCAGCCAGCCTTCTAAGAGGGCTCCTTCATTGCCGGAGACCTCAGAAGAAGACACGTCAACCTTCGCCAAATGAGCACCGAGTGCTTCCGGAAGGTAGTATTGATAGATGGTATACAGCACAGCAGGACTATTATAATTATCCTGTCTGGGTGTCCTGGCTGGACTACCTACACTGCTTAGGGATCTCCAGCCAGGGCACCCAGACAGGATGGTCCAGGTAGGTGTCTTCCTCCTTTTTGGAGGCAGAGGCAACACGCAGTGTGCATGCGTGTGTGCACAACATCGACTAAGGATGGCCTGCCCTAGGGTTGCCAAAGTGAAACATTCCAGACCCTCCAATGAGGGGGGCGTCAGCTGAAAACCTTGACGCTCCCTGTTTGAATCACGCGATTCCGACGTGGTGCTTCAGGCCTATCTAGGCCGATGGGCCAACCTATCGCCGCCACTGGGTCTCCCAGCAGACAGGTCTTCCAAGAGCTTCTTCAAGGTTCCGACATGAGGTTCCATGAGGTCACGCAGATGGGCAGATCTGGATGTTGGATCTCCAAATGTTATTAGCAAGATACAGAAAGCCTGAACCCGTAGACGAACGGAAAGCTATTGAAAGCGTAGTTTCCGCTTCGACGATGGTCAGCTTGACTCTGGTCAGCTCCCAAGACCCACCAAGGACGTGTCAAGAAACAACATTGCAACATGATATTGGACGCGACCCTGGGCCCTCATATGGAGAGGTCTAGGGTCCCTAGGTATTGAGGCTGTTTGGAGCGTCTGGGTAGTCCAAGATGCTTTCACTTCTAAATAACTGCTGCCCGCCCACTCTGTGGCTCGATCTGTGTTTTTGTTGTATTGATCTGCAATATCTGAGAAACACTGGCATCTGGGAAGATACATTGCTTGAGATGAGCATAGAACTGGCGATATACCGGGAGTCTCCAAGTACCTCGGAAAATGAGTGCAAGTACCTAGCCTGCTTTGTTGTTTTCTTTGTGTCATGTCCCATTTTCTATAGTTAGTACTTTGGAGGGTCCAGGATGGTCCAGGATAAGTCTGAGCATGTTGCAAAGGACATTTACTTACCCATTCGACGAGTCCGGTTCTGCCGACGAACCGGCCATTCCTTTTAGTTGCACCGGATTTCGATGACTCGCAGGTGGGGTACAGTAGTTATAGTTCAGCTCGTGAGTCATTCCAGGGAAGTTGCAAACTGACCATGGCTCCAAGAAACCCGGAACGACTGAGAATGGTTGGCCCAACGTGTCCAGAATTCACGGGATATGGTCTCGAATGCAAACCCCGTGGTCGGATGCTCTTCCATAATGCAAGGGATTGGCTTTTGAAAAAGCGGCATGTTTAAAGAGAAGTGAGTGGCTTTGGAAGCTTTAACTGGAGTACCAGTCTTCTGCGCCAAAGAACAACAGCAAACTGCACGTGCGACTCCGTCATGGGACAACGGCCCTTCCCTTGTGACTTGGCAAAGAGATCTCCCCAGCAAGACGTCCTGGATGTGGCGAGTCCGGCCCTGACCCCAGACTCGCTGTGGCGACGCAGGGTGTTTGTAGGATCAAAGCATCGACGAACTCCGCTCCCCTGCACCAGGTGCGTCAACCTACCATGCCGATCCGCGCCATAAGCCCCACAGGCATGTCTAGACTGGTCTGTTGGTCTGACCTCATGTATACTGAGTATACTGGAGCTGATCATAAAAAAACACAACTCTTTTCTTTATTCAGGTCTTCTTCAGGACTAGGAGACGGTAGAGACAGCTTGAAGCCTGGGTGGCTAATTTGCCGTGTCTGTCCAGCTCGAAAGCGTCGTTCCCGCTCAGAACTCGCCCAGGAACTCGCCCCACGATATATAATATTACTGTATACCTGGACCCTCCTGTCGGGGTGCCCTGTCTGGAAGCCTATAGGTAGTGTGGAGTAGTCCAGCCAGGACACCCCGACAGGAGGGTCCTGGTATAGTCGTGCCCTCTACCGATCCACCCGGTGTGGATGGGATTCGGTGATTGCCAGCTCGTGACCGTCACGAGGTGATGGCACCGAAGCATGGTGGACAGTCCATGTAAACAGTGGTCCCCAAAAAGAGTGGACCGTGGCATGGTTTCTAAATGTTTTCTAATGCATGTTAAAAGGTCGACATTTAGTGTTCTATCAGTTCTATCTATTTGGCGGTCTATATAGAGCCTTTTGGTGGTGGATGCCTTTCAATCCTGTCCCAAAGCCTAATCAAATCATGGACGAGCCCGCCATTCGTCTTTCGGATGGATAATAAAATATATATATATATACCCTGCATGTCGACGCAGGTTAATTTAACCGCCTTTGAGCAGGGATGTTTTTTGGCGTGGTCCAGGGTCAGCCCCTGGAGGCTCAAGGGTATGCAATTGAAGCGAAAGGATATGAAATGATAGGGGACAAACTCTTCAGTCGGATCATCATAGACATACTTCAACCAAGTGGGATCACACCCGAATGACTTGTAATAAAGATTTGTCGAATGACTGGCCCGAATTTTCGTGCTTTTCCACACCATTGACGTGTTCTTCAGGTGTTTCCTCGTCTTTGATTGTTCTTTAATGTTATTGTCACAATCGTTTTCTCTCCATAGTGTTTGTTCCATCTTCTCTTCATACGGATGTCCACCCCCGACACGACCCCCGCGGTCCACGACCCGACACGACCCCCGACACGGCCCGACACGACCCCGTCACCGTCCGTCGCGCTTTGCTTCGGTCAGCCGGCCGTCTTTCGGATCCGCCTCATCGAGCAGGAGGATCGTGGGGTTCGCCAGGATCGCCTGTGCCCGCGGCGGGACGACCGGTCCAGACGGATCACCCAGACACGACCGCCATCTGGGACTGCCATGACGGACTGCCTTCAAAACGGGCAGGGGGGGGTGCCAGGGGGGGTCAATGATAGGTATATATTCCAGTCCCGAGTCTATGGGGTCGGGAACCGGAGGCTTGTGTATCTACCAGTTATATGTTCGCCCAGATGCCCGGCGCGCGGAACCCTGCGACTTCTGGCGCGAGAAGTAGTAGCCAGGGGTAAAGACTAAAACCATAGACCCAGAAGGATTTCAAAGACCTTTTAAAAAACGGTTGATCCGCTCCTGTCGTCTAAAATCCTAAGTAAACCAATAATGGTTGTTTGGTAAAGACCATTGAAACAATGGTTTTTTGAATCCCAGGCCTAATTAAAGATCCATTAATCCCCGCGTGCCGGAACCCGAGCCGTTCGGTGGGAAAATTTTGGTGAAACCACGAGCTTAGTGGCGTTCTGGTTGAGTGGCCCAAAGCCATGCCTATATAGGCTTCCTGGCCGTTGATTTCATGATTCAAGTCCCGGGAATACGAACCGGGCGGAGAACAACCGACCAACCTGCCACCTGCTTGGTATGTTGGGCTAGGATTCTTTGGGCAGAACCGGGGGGCTGGACCATTCGACCAACTCCGGCCGTCTCTTCCCCCCAGGGTGGACCGGACCGGGTCCAATGGCCGACACGACCGCCATCTGGGACTGCCAGGACTGCCGCAGACAGACCCCCCAGTCACCAGCCCGGTCGGCCGGATCGGCAGTCCGCAGATGGCGGTCGTGTCTGGGAGACTTGACCAAGAACGTTTTGGGATGCACCAATCTCACAAACATCCTGCACCTCTGATGTTCCAACAGCAACAAGCATCCACTGACACCCTCAGTTTACAAAATATATTCAGGTGAACCATGTCACCCTGTTGGATGTTTAGTGAAGAATCCAATCACCAAAAAAGACTTAAAGGTTATCCACTGACTGGGTAGGCCTTTGCTCCATAGCCTTAGCTCAGACCATTGTTCAGAATGGTTGTCGATCGGACTCGCAGGGTTCCACATATAGGGTGTGTAGCTCAATTAGAGTACTCACTTGGAGAGTGTTCCCTTCTGTTCCCTTCAGTTCCCACCCTTTAAGGTCAAGAAGTCTCTGCTGCTTCCGGGTCCTTCCTGCGAGTCTCCCCTCCCCTCCGGCGGCACCCGTGCGATGGCCACGCGTTGCTTTTGGCCTCGGTCAAACCCCGCGTTGGGCGACGATGGCCCAGCGTCGCCGTCGTTGGTGGCTGGACCGACGTTCTTGGGCGGTTCTCTAAAATTCCTGGCTGACCATTGCTTCAACGGTCTTTACTAAGAACCAATAGGTTTTGTACCAGGACTGAAACCAAGTCCGATGGTTTTTGGACACCCCGAATCAGCTCTCAGAGGCAACTATTTAAGTCCACCTCTTGGAAGGTCCTGGTATAAATCACGATGATGGACTAAACAATACCACTCAAAACCAGGTCCTTCCGGTCCTTCGCACTCTTTTGATGGTCTGTTCAAAGGGACCATGGGTCCATCTGATCCATCCGACCGTCCAAGCTGCTGCGCCGCCAACACCCTCCGCGAGTACCAGCGGTCGAAAACCGGCGAGTCGTCGAACGGCGAGTCGAACGACCGGTCCGTGGAGTAGATCCAGGGACCATTGACTCCCGTTTCCCTGCACTTTGACTCCCGTTTCGTCGCGTTGAACGCTATAAACTCTGCCCCAGTTGGGGTGGTTTATAGACAAGTCACGCCCCTTTTGAAGATGTATGTTCCATCTAAGAACGGCCCTTTGAGTAGTAGTGGTGGTGTAACTTGGGGTCCGAAACATTATGTATTTTCAGATGGGTTTCTTGGATATCTTGGATATCTTGGTGGGCGATCCAACTCCCCAAGCTCCAAAAAAAGTGGTGGATCTTTTCCAGTGTCCCAGTTTCTCCAGTATCCCATGGAACAGGACGTTCCGGACAGGACCTCCCGGACAGGACAAGCCTTCCAAGGACATAGAGATGAAAGGCTAGAAAAAAAGGGGTCCAAAATGGTCCAACGAAACAGCTGCCTGCATTGGAAGGTCGTGGAATGATTGAAAGCACATACTTGCACCACCCAAGTTGCCCTCGTTGGCCCCGATTTGATTGCAAATATGTGTAACATTGTGTAGCCTAAGGAAAGGGGCATCGTCGGCATTCCAAGGAAGCACAGAAGAGATGGTGTCAACGGGCGTTTGGTGTCCTTTGTGTCCGATAAGACACCGCCCTGAAACCTCGGATCCAGTGATATTTTTTACAGCAGGGTGGATCCAGTGACCACTCCATAAGGGGACCCTTATGTGGTTCCAAAGACTAAAGCCGACTTTGAAGCCTCAGACTACATCGTGGGATTCTTTGGATCCAGATGGATCCGGGTACAGCAACGTCAATGACACAAGTGATACCCTCATAGTAATCCTAATCGATGATCAAATGTTATTTGCACTTCATGGAGTTATGATCAAATGATGAATTGTTCAAATTCAGCCATGTTGGCAGAATTGGCGGCGGTCTGACTTGATGACTGCCATGTCTGCCCTGCCCCTGCCATGCCGGCCCTGCCTCCACTCAGTTGGATGCCACGCTCTCCCACCAGCGTGTCCTAAGAACATTCTCGCCAACATCCATCAGCTTCGGTTTATATAACTAACTATTGAGTCTGAGGTTATACAACTTCCAAGCGTTCCAAGGCCAGAAGGGTACCAATCCAAACAGACCGTGGAAGTCCGTGGACGGCCATATTCTAGCTGTCGGGTCGAACAATTCCTCCAATCTATGGAGGTACACTGTCTGGAATCATCAAACCCTAAGAATCCGGGCCCTCAAACACTATAGACATAGGGTTTGGGAACTGGGCCCTTTTCCCCTGTGTTTCGGTGTCGGGTCCGACCCCTGCCATGGAGAACCCGTTCGGATTGTTAGGGAAGTGAATGGCAGTCATCATCCTTTCGGTGCTCTTCCGGGGGCCATGCCATCCAGCCATGCCATAGCTGATGGGAGCCGGTCCAGCCCTGCACCTGCAAGCACCTGACCGACTAGCCAATCTGCACCACTGGCCGGAGCATTCAATGAAAACCTGCACCCTGTTTGCTTGGGACAGACCTCCGGTCCAGGTCCAGGTCTCGACCTCCTGAACCCTTGGACCGGACGGAAGAACCGGACCGTCCGGAAGGTCGGAAGGTCGAGCCGAGCCGTTGGTTTCACTGGAAGGAACCGTTGGTTCTCCCCCGGCTCGACCCGGCTCGACCGAGCCGCCGGGGCCGAAACAGAGACCGCCGGGCCCGGGTGGATGTGGATTTGAACGATCAAACGTCCAGGATCCTGTGACTGGGTGTCCTGGCTGGACTACCCTACCCCGGTACCTACCGGGGGCCCCACAAACCATCGAAAACCTGGTTTTCACACACAAAAACATACAAAAAACATCAAAAAATGTGTTTTTTTTGCTATAGGGAAAACCATGTTAGTTTGTGATGCTTTGTGGGCCCAGTAAGGAAGTGCTAGCTTGGGAACTTGGAAAGAAAACACCTCCTTCCCGTCTCCTCACCGACGTTGACGGGAAGGACCAGACTTGGACGCGTGGTTTTTCCGACCGAGTGTCGGGACGGAACCGAAGCTTCAGGGGAGGTTGACCTCTCATACTGAGGGAGTTTGAAATAAAGAAGGTTTGATATGATTAGAAAAAGGAAAAAAAAAAGACAAAAGGAACACCAAACACTTCCAAAAGCCATAAAACCGGCTGCTGTGATAGACTGAGGCCTTTGACCTTCAAGTCGTCTCCAATACTTGGCGCTTCGTGGATTTGACCATTGCAATTCAGTAACTTGAAGAGTCAAATAAACTTTGGGAGGTGTTGAGCTTCTCATGAAAGCACATCCTTTTATCTCCTTGTCTTTTTCAAACTCCTTCTAACTGCTTCAAACACCAATGCACCAACAACTTCTGGCTGCTACAAGCGGTACATCTGCCTTTGGTGCCTCAAGTGAAGCACTACGCGAGGGGATGATCAAATTCTGCTGGTGTTCAAAGGCTACAATGTAGAATTCTGGGTGAGCATATCTATCTAACGTATCTAAGTATTCTTGGTGAGTATATCCAAGCCCATCCACCATCTAGTCGTGTTGTTTTGGCCATCCCTCACGATGAACAACTCCTAGAGTGAGGCCGAGGCCGTCCTGGGACCGACTGACACCGGCAAACTGTGCGGAACCTCCTTTCGAGGTGGCCAGGATGCCATGTCCGATCGGCTCACGGGCTGACCAAAGCTCAAGATCACATGCAGCTGGCCCGTATCTTGAAGCACGACCTTCCTGAAGTGAAGGGCGAACACGGGTTAGAAAAACCATGATGCCATAATAGATACCTTTAAGGGCAAGTCGATGGGAAAACACCGAACATTTGGGAGGTCGTCTTGGGGGGCGTGTTTGTTCAGGCTGGTTTTTTTGCTCTGTCCTCTAGTGGCCCGCGGCAGAAATGGAACCATACAACACACCAAAGCGATGACCAGAACCGGACCGTATCGAGACCGCGAGCGAAAGAGAGTTTCAGCGCGAAAGAGGTCTCAATTCAGGGGCTGATGGGACCTACATTATCCTACATTCGCGAATGTAGGTCCTGATGGGTCCGAATGTAGGTCCTGGTACCTCAACAAAAGGTCGCTGCCAGGTTTCATCACGCCGGAGATTTCGAAGTATTGTGGTGGCACATGAGCCAGAAAAAGAGGCATTGCCTCGAAGGCTGCTACTTGGTCAGGCAGGTGCGTTGGCACATCCTCTTGCTTGGCAAGCGTGCCTTGAGAGGCCCTCGCAGCTCTCCTAGCAGCCCTGGCGTCTTCATACAAGCGATCCTTGGATCTGCTGGTTTTAAGGAACCTGGACACAAAAGAACATATATGCCCCAAGCTTGGGGATTTATATAAAACAATTAAACATAACCATCACCCTTTTTTCTGGCAGAAACCATGGATCAATGATGTCAAGGGTAAAGGAGTTGGGAAAAATGTCGCACAAGCTTTGGCCCACCACGTCCGCGCCTTAGGACAAGTCGAACGCGTGACCGGTCGACCGCAACACGAGTTGGAGCGCCCACGAGCGCCCGGAGTTGGAATTCACCACCCCCCAAATGCAGAAGTTGTATAAGGGGTGTCCCTTTTCACCACCCGTTAGTGGGTCCAGTTCTACAGTTAAAATCAACAGCATGGTCCTGTAGAAAACTTCGATCTATACTCTCCAGGAGACCTCAAAACCATGAAAACAAAGGTTTTCACATACAAAAAATATGTCTTTTGGCTAGGGAAAACCAGGTTTTGGATGGGCCAGGGGGGGTTGTGGCTATACTCTATACCCTAAAGGGCCATGCCATGACCCCTGTGGCGCCCTGCGGACTGGAGAGGACAGACCCAAACCATCGTCTTTGTCTTGGCCCTTAGAATATGGGTCATGCACCTCCAAACTCTGCTTGACCTTGTAGTATGTTCTGTTCATTTTCGGTCACCCCGGGTCCCCCTTGTAGCTTGACCCACAGCCATGTGATCTTAAAGCCCAAGAAACACGGGGCACTAGCGGCACTGACCAGCTTCTCAGCCACATTGATGTCCTGAGCCGAGGGGTGTCCGTGCAATCCCAGAATGCTCTCAGTAAGCCGATTTGCCCAACACCCACGAGGTTTGGAAGATGTTGAACTCATGACCCATGCTTCCTCGATCTCAAAATCAACATCATTCAAAATCTGTGTCCCCTTGGTCTTCCAACTTACCCGAGTGTCCAAGAAGGCATTCTTGTCCCCAATCTGCAAGCAGTGCTCCACGATTCCGTTGCTCAACACGCGGGACGTGGCACTGTCCGTGTCGGGAGGCACGGCGCTCAACTCTTGCGGCGGCGCTTCGTGCATGGTGAACGATCGCATCTCGTAGCCTTCAGCGTCTCGGTGAGAGGACGGACGACTCGAGCGAACGCGCAAGAAAGCCATCCACTGGTCACCTGCTGCAAGCCCAGTCCCCGAAACAAAGGATTGGGAACATATTGGAACCCATGGCGCCAGCTTGAGATCCTTTACATAGGAACTGTTTCAGATTGGGACTGGGTTCCAGGAATTGGGAAGGAGTGAAGATAAGTCAAGATTACTATCCACCATGGATGGGTAAGCCCAACAAAATCTCTTCCCGAAGCACCCGGGCCCCTGCGAAGGTCCTAGGTGAAAGAGCATCAAGACTCGAACCATATCGAACACCTTGGGTGCTCTTCCGTCAGAGTGGTCGGAATCCGAGTGAGAACAGAATTGATACGTCTGCAGCCCCGAGCTGATTGATCGGGGATTAAACTGATCCAAATGTCCGGCTCCCGAGCCGTTTTAATTTGAAAAATCACTATATATAGACACGATCTGTCTGGCACATGGCATATTTACCATACATTGGGGTGGTTGAATTCAGGGGTCAACGGGGGCGGCATCAATTCCAGTCCCATGGAGTGTCTGAGTAAGGTTGCGTACGTGGGTAGAAACCCACCGTCGGACGGATGGACGGTTGCTGGGACGGGTTGCTGCGCCAGTCCAGCTGCGAGTCGTCACTGCCGGATCGTTCCCGTGCCGCGCGTGCCATGGCATTCTGCGGGTCGATGGCCAGGGGTTTGACATCAGTAAAGTCTCGCAGCCCGAGGAGGTGATACTTTTGCCCATTCATCTTGGTGTACTTCACCTGTCGGAAAGTGAGGCAGTGTTCAACCAGCCACGAAGAAAATATGTTCATCAATGATCGATGATGCAAGGGTCATTGGTCGTTTTGAGGGAGGGGAAGGAGCTCAATTCAAGAAGGCTCCCAGCACCTCCCAGATGGAGAGGCTGTCAAATGAGAATCGACAAAAATTGGTGGCATTTGTATGCCTTTGATTCTTTTTGGCGCTCGACTTGGCCTGGAAAACCTCAGTCCTGAACTTACTGGAGCAGCCATCCACCAAGTTCGTATGAAAGGCGTGTGCGGGGGCAGATGCCCTACTCCCCGCCAATAGATCCTCTGCGGCTCGTTCTGCATCAGCAGCTGCGATGAAGTCAGTAAACTTGGTTCCTTGGATTTGCTGCAAGGTCAACATACTGAATTCTCATCCCGATCATGAAAACGCATGAATGTTGCATAGTTGGAACTCTACAGGTATTTATCCTGTCACAGTTAGTACTGTACATCTGCCACACATGGGCTGTCTGGGATCAACCAGTTCAGAACCGCTTCTCCTGCGACCGCACACCGAACTGCAATGCCGAGCCATCTGCGACCCCCATGGTTCAGGAGTGGAACATTGCTCTGTTCTCTCTTCATGGATTGTCCAGGAACCTGGAAAAAACCATTCCCCAAACCAGGGCCCCTAAGAGGTGGCTAATTCACATCCTTTAACCTTTAAGGGGCTATTGTTAGACACTTGTTAAAGGGCCCTGGAAGAGGATTTCATCCGCAAAAACCAGGTCAACCTGGTGTTTTGGATCTCTGCTGTTCGCCCCCAAACACCCCCGATCCATCGGGTTTTGCTTCTGTTCGCCAGCGTCGAACTGCCGGAGGAACATGGAACTCTTCAGCTGTTCGCTTTCAGTAATACAGTGGGTTCAGAGTAGATGGCGCAATCCCGAAAAGTCGGTGGTTTGTATGGACCCCGGGCCTCTAAAGGACATCTTGGGGTTTGTGCCATCTACTCTGAACCCACTGTAATAAGAATGGGTCTTGACGGTCTTGACCAAAGCATCGGATGTGGGACGACCGAAAGTGGCCAAGCGCAGGACCGTACCGACCCCTCCAACCGCCTTGGAAGCGGCGTGAAGAATCACCACCCGATACCTTCCAGGTTTGCGCTAAGCTTAGCGTCCCTTCAGCGTCTCGGGCTGGCGAAAGAGCATGGCCGCCAATTGGGGGGAGTCTGACTTGATGCGAAAGTCCTCGTCCAAGTGGACCACAGCATCGCCTCAGGTTTCGATGCTGCGGTGGACGTGGAAGTGACTCGAGCCAAGGTGGGTGAGAGGCGTCAACCTGGCCCAGTGACCGAGTGTAACTGTTGAACGAGGGGCCAAATGGCCATGAAATTCACCACCCAAAGCATCAAGATCTGCACGATTATATGCCTGTTCTTCCCAAGTCACAGGTGAGCTCCAAGAGAGCTGATGCTGCGTTGAGCTGCGTCTTGCTGTCACCCTCCCGGATTTTGGATTCCACATGCTGCCGTAGCGCACTGTTGGCCAAGAGGTGCACTACAAGCCCAACTCCTTAGGGTCCCGCGAGAGAACTCTCGGCGGGTGGCTGGCGAATGCGCGGCCGATCGGTTTGGCTGAAATGACGGCGAGTTCTGCGGATCCAGAAATGATCGTTTGAGATGAAGGCTCTGGCCTGTCTGTCCCTTGTTCCGAGGAAGCGCCGGACAAATGCTTGACGGCAAGCAGCAAGAATAGGCAAGCAGAATAGGTTGTTTCATCAAGAGAATCCCAGACCATCCATGGGACTGGAAGAGTTTACATGGAAACCCCATAGAAAAATGACCCATCCAGTCCCATGGGTTCCCATGGGTCTTAGAGTCGTGAAAGTCTCGTATTTGTTGGACCGAGTGTACTTGGACCACTTCTTCCTGGCGTGAAAGTCCCAGGCACGGAACGAGAGCCTCAAGCCGTACTGGGGCCGTACTCTTTGAGGGTTTTGGTTCCACAAAACTCCAGAATCATCGTCCCAAAACTCCAGGGCGAAGAAAGAGGCTCCAAGGGTCCTGACCTCCACCTTGACTGTGACCTCCAAACCTCTAGGGATTGATGAGAAACTCCAGTCGCTCTTCTCCCTCCAGTCGCTCTGTATCTCCAATCCGGTCCCCACCCCAAGGACGAGGGGAGACAGCAGCCCGGTGTCGCTGAAAATCGCTTGAGGACTCAGCCATCAAAGCTGGAAGAGCACTCAGTTGAACGGATGGTTGATTGTTGTGTTGAAAGAGAACACTTGCATTTGGACCCAAACTCTAGTAAAAATAGTAAAAAGCAAACCATGTCGTCTTAACAACCTGGGTCCACGAACAACCTGGGTTGACTTGTCAAAACAGAACTCATCGCAAGTCAGGATTCCCATGAAGAACAGGTGCACAATGATCAGGGTCTGTGGATTCCCGATACGTCCCTCAGCCAAAGGAAACTCCTCCTGCACGACGCGACCAACCATCAGCGCCAGGATGGACAACTGGCACAGGAAGAGCACAGTGTAGTGCTGGGCAAAGGTGCAAACCTCTTTTGCCATTGGAGCGCAGAAGAAAACAAAAGGGCTCCAACTGCTTCAGAAGGTGCGACTGGGATGAGTGCAGGGGGCTCTAACTACCTTCTGAGTATGTGGTTGGAGCCCTAGGAAAAAATACAATCAACCTGCAATCCGAGCGGCCCTTGCCGCCGCTATGTGCAACACCCGACCCCCCCGCAGTGAAAAAGAAGCAAACACATATTTAAATTTCCAGACATAGGACTAGTAAGTCATATTAGAGTCTCTCTCTCTCTATATATATATATATATGCATGGGGTCAAATGACTTAGGCCAAAGTGGCCCGATATGATATTATTACAACTTTTCCAGGGAAAGTCCTAAGTCATGTAGAGGTGTGAAATTCGCCATTTCAGATATTCCAGTGGCAAACGTTCATGACCTAGTTCAGTTTGGCGACAACCTCTGACAGATCGTCGTGTGACAACCTATGACATCTCTGATTTTGAGTTTCTTGTTGTTCAAACCCTTAGCTTCATCACATAGGACTCCATGACCCCAAAAGGGCAAAACCTCATGGCAAAACGCCGCAAACAGAACCTGCCCGACCGACGCGCCGGGTTTTCACGACGCCCGACCGGTCCCCGAAACTAAACCGGGATTGCTTCGCAGACCCAAACCAAGGTCTCGGTCCTCGGGTCGCGAGGATCCACGGTGAGGTCTTTGTCCACTCCCCGAGGGGGATCCCCTAAAGAGTCGGGTCCGGTCGGGTCCGGTTCAGGTCCAAGACAGGCCGTGTCTGGGAACTGGTATGGAAATGGTCACGAAGGTGATGGTATGCAGCGTAAAGAGGTTCTCAATGGAGATGGTCCACGGCGACAGCCAAAAACCCATCAACACCTGGGAATGGTGATGGGACACATCAGAAATGTGTTGGCTCCAGTCCGGTTCGATCTGCACAAAGGATTGAAATTCATATTTTCCATCAACATAATCCAAAACAAAGCAGCACCACAGCAAGTTTAGATCAAGATCATTATAATAGATTCATGTAGATTCAATGACTTCTGAGAACAGCGGGCGATCGAAAATCGAAAAAACAAAGAAAATCCTCTGATCAGCTCTCCCAGGAAGCATGAAAGATCACACAGAGAGGGTCCAAACTATAGGCACGGAGGAATGTTGGCAGCAAGAGGAGCATCACCAGCACCAAAAAACCGACGAGCATCCCCCACATGCCAAATCCATTCATCCATCGACGATTCCTCATCCACATGTTGTACACGAGCATAATCACCCCAACCATCGTGATGCCAGCAGTATATTGAAGAAACCTATGAGCCAAGTGGATCTTCTCAGAAGCCATTTGCTCCGCCAGGTATCTCGCAGCCCTGTGTTGCGAGGCGCGCTTTCGGCGGCGCCACTGCCGGCAAACAGCCCCCCAACCTGCCTGCAGCAACTCACTGGAACGCCGCCAGCAGCCGTTCCCGCCTGTGCTCCCGCAGCCTGCTCCCTCCGTCCAACGCAGATGGGACACCACAGCCCACAGTGCCAAGAACATCACAAAAACGGCACACACGATGAAACTCTTCTCCTCCTCGGACATGTCGGGCGCCACTTGTTCCACGCCCTCCATGGCAATCGAACTTCAGCCCGAACTACAACGTCTGGAAGTCCAAGACGAGAGTTTTATTAAACAAATATATATCTTTTTCAGCGACTTGGACTCGAGGAGTTTCCGACTCGTGGGTGGTGCCAAGTGGACTACGTGGACTTGGACGGTTGGACTGACGACAGCAGCGGAAGAGCCACGCAGCAGCGGAAGAGTCTTCTCCGCTCTATTCGAATAGACGACCGCCCCATGCCACGCACAAGCCGACCGCTGCCGCTCCCAACGGCGGACACGGCCATGAGATGGTTGGGGTGTCGCCCTAGCCTTCGCCGCAAAAGAATGGGCACGACCCAGCGACCCAGAAGTCTCTTAGGAACTGGAGGTGTAGTCCAGGTGACTCAGGCACCGGACGGCACAACGGCGGAAAGGCGACCAATCGCCGAGGGGCGTAGCCCTTCTCCCACTCTGAGATGAAGCCGTGACCTCCAGGTGGACGGAACCGGGGCTACCACCCAGGGTGTTGAAGGCGGGGGTCAGTGGAAGGTCAGTGTGGCTCTGAAACGCACGGTGTGATAATACGGGGGTTGGTTGGGTTGTGGGTCGAGGATACTCTGGTTGACCGACGAAACTGGCGCTCCAATGATCCTGCGCTTCCCATGAACCCTTCACCATAGGGTGGGTACTGCGGGCTCCGTCCGTCTGAGCGCTTCCCACAACCCTTCAGTTTCACTGGGTGTCGGGGAGTTGTGGCAAGTGACCATCTGGACAAGAAACCTATTTGAAACACTGTAGATGCATATGTATACAGTGAAACCGAAAAGCTCACGACGAAGACAATGACTGGCGTGGTGCTGTGAAAAAGATAACGCATCGAATTTGGAACTGTATCCACACTCCTGTTCTTGTTCTTGTTGAATGCAAGTCTAAATTGCTTACAAAGGTACTAAAACATGCTTGCAGTGTTCATACGGCAGGGATGTATGAGAACCCGCGAAAAGCAAGCACTGTTGAACAATCTGTCATGAGTACCAGCCCACGAAAGGGTGAAAAGGTAACTTGGTCCTCACAGGTGGAACACGTGCCGTATACATTGTGCTAATCTGCATGTGGGGTGCGACTGGCCGCAGCGGGAACCCTCCTGTGCACGCTCAGCTCCATGTGGCCGCGTTTTCGAGAGTTGGGGGTACAAGCAGAGTGGGTTAAAGTCCCTCAAAAACGGGCAATAATGCGCAGAGCATCTGCTCATTCCCAAAGAAATCTTCTTTGCGTGGGGAGGGCGAGTACCTTACGCATATGGTCTTATGATATTGGTCTTGCACGGTCCTGACTAGGTGCCAGACCCTAAAGTCGCTCAGGCGCACCCTGTTTCCAAACATGACATGGGTCGGCTCTTAAGTTATAATTATGAAGGCTCAGCGTTCTGGTAGCAGAAGGACACAGCATTGAAGCCTAGTTGGGGTCGTAGAACAACACAAAAAAAACAGCAAAACCCTACAATCCTTGCGCCCTCCATGACAGGGCTCGGACCTTCTCCACCGAAACACAGGGGTCTGCACCCTCAAAATCCCTCAAAACCCTGTCTATTGGAGGGCCCGGATAGGGAATTTGTACCTGCAGGGTCAAACGAAACCATCCAAAAACCCGGGTGTTCCCTAGCCCAAAACCCTGGCTTTGGTGAAAACCGTGGTTTTGGTGATGGGACATGGCTTCGGCCCCCCCCCTGGTCTGCCCCAAACCCGTTGCGAACGACCTACCCGGTGGGCCGTCGTCCCGGCCTCGACCGGCCCCCGTCCCGTCCCGCCCAGCCCCGGTGGGCCGTCGTCAACGGGAAACGGTTCGGAGGGCGCTGTGTTGAGACGTACCTTCGGACGGGGAGGTACTACCTTAGGGGAGGTCAGTTCCTTCGAAGGGCGCTCAAGTGACGTGCTGAGCGTCAGGAACTGACCTCCCCTAAGAATCCGAGCTCGGGCTCGGACCTTGGGGGTCGGGCTCGGACCAGACCTCCACCGTTTCAGGGGGGAAGTGCGGGCCCGGTTCCCAAACCCTATATCTGTTGGTGCGGGCCCGAACCCTATAGGGTCATGAAATACATGGAGATGGTTATACAACACCAATATAATAATGGCTCCGTTCTTCTGAGCAGGTTTGGACCTGGGGAGCGAACTGGACGTAGGGACTCTGAGACACCGGTCCCGCATCTGTAGGGATCGGACCCGAATCCTCAGGGCAGGGGGTTTGTGGTCGAACCAATCCCTACAAACCAGAGGGGCCTCACATGGCCCATCCCAAAACGGGGTTTTCCCTAGCAAAAAACATGGACTAAAACATGGTAGGTGAAAACCTGTTTTTCATGGTTTGGTTCGGGCCCCTGGTAGGTTTGGAGGGACCGGTTGGGCTGTGAACGGAGCGTGTGGGTGAACTGTACATCAATTCAATGCCATAGTCATAGTCGCCATTGCTTCCAGAATCCTCTAAAACTCACCAAGTTTTGCCCAACTCAAGCTCTGTGCACAAAAAAGATAAACATAACCTATAATCTTGATGAATCTTGAACGCTGATATCATCTGATCATATCCGACTCTGGGCCCCCCGCAGTTGGCCAGCTTGGCTGCTTCCTCCAACTTTCCCTGGTCCGCCTCCTCCAAATCAAAAACTCCGACGCAAAAGAAGAGCTCTTGACGGGGAGTTGAGCGAGTTGGAGCACTCAGGAATCATCGGCACACTCAGGAATCAGGTCTTCTCGGGTCTTTTCCTCTTGTCGAATTGGTTTGGGGTATCTTATGTTGATTCAGCCATGCTGCCCTTGTCGCCCGTTCCGTCAGCCGCGGGTTCCACAAATGCCCTGTTTGGGTTAGTCACCCTGCATTGTTTGTCACTCTCTGTGGCAGCATCTTCGGAGTTTGCAGGATCTCACCAAGAGTTTCCTTTGATTATTCCCTAAGAATCCGGGCCCTCAAACAGATAGGGTTTTGAGGGCCCGGACCCCTGCATTTCGGTGTCGGGTCCGACCCCTGCCATGGAGAGCCCAAAAACTCTGGGTTATATAATTGTACATATGGAGGGGTCTGGGGTCTCAAAGCAACTCCCGACCTTCCACCCCGATGGATACAGTAGATCCCCTCTTAGAGGTGATGGGAGATAGCTTGGCGATGGAGGGTCTCTCCTTCGATCTCCATGTTTGGAGGGTCTACTGGAGGGTCGGTGAGGTCTCTCTCCCAGAGAGAATCCATGTACCAGCAGTCACGAAGGGGTGCCTATTGGAGGATAGGGGTGCCCAGAACATCCACTCACTTAGGGACTAAACACCACCCCTTTGTGACTCCAGGTATATGGATGTGTATTTTTAAAACCTACTTTGACCCCTGAAACCACCCCAATATATAGTATACCTAAAGAATCCAGAACCTAAGAATTGGTCGACTCTTTCTGAAAACATCATGTCTTCACAGTGCGGTTGTAGAAACATCATGTCTTCTTTAATTAAAAAATAATAATACATCGTGATGAGTGTCACCCAATTTCATACATATAATAGATGTTTATGGTTTCATACATTGATTGTTATGGTTTGCATAGAGTGTACCTTCTGAGAAGGATGAGAAGTCTCGGATCCCCACGTCCGCGGCCTCGACGCCGAAGGCGATGTTCTCCCGCGCGCTGATGGCGAAGAGGATGGGCTCCTCTGGGCCGTTCGGTCTACCAGCTGCGGTGCTTCCGCACGACCGGGGTCACCGGATCTCTCCACACTAGACGTAAACAGGTCTCCAAACAGGGCACCAAGCCTTGGAAGCGCTAGGTATAGTACTCCAGTCTTCCAGTGTGATGGGTCCTTTTTAAGGTCGTTTCACCTCGTTTCGATGACAAACCGAAGACCGGACTGGCGACCGCTCTTGCGCGACCGCTCTTGCGCGACCGACCGTGCGGTGGTTGGGGAAAGCCAATGTGTGTGGTGTTCTTCTGAGAGAATGTACGACCAGTACGGACTCGACCCGGACTCGTACCTTGGAAAAATGGGTAGAAGATGGTAGAAGTATATTGGTACAGTCGTAGCTATTTGTTGGTTTCGGGTCATGTCCCATTTTGAAAGGCATACTTGGACAGGTCAAACACCATCATGTATTAATTACGCGGGACCGAAGTTGGTCAATAACCTCTATATGCACCATTCAAGGCACTCCTTAAGGCCAGGTTTGGAGGTCAGAGTGGACTTGTAGCCTTCGTTGTCCCTGTCATTTCGGAAGTCCAGGAAAGACCAACCGGTTTTTTCTCGAAAAGACCGAATTTCGGTGCCCAAGTTGGAGAGTCGACTTCGGAATCTTCCAAACACTGCGAGGTGGTCACAAACATCGTCGTGCCTCGTCGCGCCCGGGGAAACGGCGACCGGCGGAACGCGAAACGACCGGCGAACGACCCTTCAAAACAGTGTGAGAAAGGACCCGCTTCCCCCAACCCTGTCTATTGCCAGACCACCCCAGTCCCAACCAGAAAGAAATGGTTGTTCCAATATGGCTCGGTTCTTTGGCCACCAAAAAGACCATTCCTAGGGCTGGAGGAAGGGTGTATCGATCAAGCTTTTTGTCACTCACATCTCCAAATAAAAAGGAGCTAAGAAAAGCTCGCTGCGCAGCACATTCGCGGCGCAGCAAAAAAAGAGGAGAAAAACGTGGGCTTTTCCTGACTCTGTCTTCTCTTCCGTGGTTCCCAAGTTCCGGGACCTCCAAAACCAATCGATCTGTGCATCTGTTCTTTTGTCGGAGAGTCCTCTCCAGCCAGAAGGGTTTGTTTTGGAGAGTCCATGCAGTCAGATTGGTAATTAGGGCAGTTCCACTGGAAGAGCCGCATGTTCGAGGAGAGCGAAGGTGTGCATGCCAAAGTACAGAAGGGCCCAGCAGGGCCCAGCGGCCATCAAGGATTATTCCATCTTCACTCTGAGGGTGAACGACTACTAAACGAATGATCATGAAGGGGACCTGATTTAGGGCACTTGCTTTGCTTCACAAGGGCAAAGTATCGTCGAACAAATGCATCACACTTGACACTTGACACCCTCCTGCAGCTGTGTGACCCCTTGCCCCACTCTTTCTGTCAAATCTGGGTGTCGAGCATTGATTGAACCTGTGGGTCAGATTGATTCGTGCCACTTTGGAAAACGAAATACTGTTTGGACTGTTTGGCGTCTCAAAATTATCCAAGAAAGCTCCGAACTAAAAAGACATCTGGTGAAAGACATCACATCGGACTCGGCATGCCGACAGACTTCCACGTGCAACACAAAAGCGACCTCTTCGACTCCAACCTCGATCGCCGAAACCGAAGGAACCAGACAGGAAAATCGATGGTCTTATAGGGCTTGGGATCCTGGGATCCTCTACCCTAATAAGGATCCAGACGGCCCCGACCTCTTAGCAGGGGTCAAGCCCCCTCTTAGCAGGGGTCTCAACCCGGTTCCCAAACCCTGTCTATTTGAGGGCCCCGATTCTTAGGGTAGAATCCTTAAGCAAGGAAGTACTGTAAAACGTGATTGGGAATCCCAGGGTCAAGCCAGGGTCTCCTAAAAGAGATCCAAGTAGTCCGGGATTCCTTCCCTGGCCGCCTCGAAATCGCAGACCCACCGAACTTTCGTGAGACGACCTGTCCCGCGTGCGTGCGACCTCGCCTCGACCCGCCTCGACTCGACTTCCCCAGAACGGTCGGCCCTCCTGCGAGACGACCGCCATGTTTCGCCGCAAGTAAGAGAACTTGAGCTCTTTGACCTCACAGCGACCGACGGCACTGTCTCACAAGCTAGATAGGGATCTATATATATATATAGGGATCTAGAAAGCTATTGTGGAGTGTTTCCTCTTGGGTTCCAGACCCCTTGGGGAACGTTTTCGACAAGACATCTCCACCGTTTGTCCAGAAGCGATCGACTTGAACCGTCCTGGAGGGAGCGGACGCATCGACTGGAAGGGTCTCACGGGCTCCGTCTGGATGATCTTCATCCACGTTTCTTTTTTTTTTTTGACTTTGCAGCTGTTCGTGGTCTGAGACCGCCAGCCTTGGTCATCCACGTTTCACATCATTGAAAAAACATGGATTCACATGGTGTTTCATCTCCCCGGGACCCTCCCGGACACGGGAACCTCCGACGTCGCTTCCGTCCGAGACACATCCACGCCGTCGATCTTCACGGCGCCCGACTGGCGGCACGGCGCTCGGGCAGTCGGGGGGGGTGAGAGGAGAGGACCGGCAGTGTCTGGTTTTTACGGGTGCTTTTTCTGGAGCGCTCAAAACATCCCAAAACCATTATTGAATGAGTGGTCAACAAGCAACAAACAACATCACTGAGTGGTCAACAAACCCAAACTACATCACTGAGTGGCCCAAAAACTACACGCAAAAAACACGAAAAGATCAGTGAATTGGAGTTGAGGGAATTTGAGGTCCATTCAGGGGCCGTGGATGTTCATATATATTCAATGGGCAGATTTTTGTTCAGCAGCTTCTTTTGAAGCACCCCGACGTGGAAGTTGCTGGCAAGTCCGGAACCCACACCTGGATCCTCGGTGGGATCCTCCGTTGGAGCGGTGCTTCCACATTCTCAGGAGCTGTGTTTCAAAAAATGCTCCTCCCTGAGTCATGCACTGGACCGGGAGGGAGCCAGTTTCCCCTCAGAGTCAAGGCAAAGTTTACTTCTTCTTCAGCTGGGAGCCATGTCCAATATGGGTCTGGGGTCTCAAATCTTGAAACATCTGGGTGGACTCCCAAGATATTCACCATGTGCCGTGCAATTCGAAAGAGAAAAAACACCTCGGTCTGCCAGGCACGATCATAGACCTAGAAAGCCTCCGATGAGACCTATGGAGATCAACCGTGGCCAACGAGACCCTCGAGGATTTGCTTCGGGGCCCCCTATGCCCCCCCCTGCAGCCCCCTGGTTCACAGGGGCTCCGACTCGACCTGCCAAGACGTGGAGTCCAAGATTTTCCAAGGATCTGGGGGCCTCACATCCCCGGAAAACTCACCTGACTGCACCGCTGCTCACCTGACAGTCATAGAGCCTTTGCAGCAACGAGACGCAGCTGGTCTTGCCGCTTCCAGATTGGCCCACCAGTGCCACCACCTGGACCGAAGCGTCGCCTTTCTCCCCTCCCGTCCCGCTCCCCCCGCCTTCGGGGAACCGACTGAAATCCCTGGTGAAATGCCGTTGAGGAAGACTCTTCCTGGGGGTGAAAAACCGCCCCCCCCCCGTCACAGAAAGAAGTGGAACGGTCATGAAACTCCCCAGTCCGAGGCGCTATGTAAACTTATTCTTCTTCTAATTACCTAGCATTGAACTGGCGTTACCCCCCAATTATCCAACTGACAGGCTCATCGCCCCAACCGTTCCATTGCTTTCCACAGCTGTCCCCTTCACTTCCGTTGCTCGCTTCCTTCCGAAACGCCGTTCACGCGCGCGGTGCATTGTGCCTGGTTCGACTCGGCTTGGAAGCTCACATTTTTCAGGACCATGGCATCTGGACCTCACAAAGAAAACGGAAGACGCAGTGGAATAGTTCGATCAAGTGTTCGACCAAGCGGAGTTGAAAACCCAGCACCAAAATCAGTTCGGGTGGTGAAAATAGACCCCCCTGACCAAAACGTTTTTCCAACCAACCACCCGTTGGCTTGGGTGGTGCAGAACTGGCCCAAGACGAAGACAGCGCTGAGATAGGTCCACCAGAGTGTCAGCAGGTTCTGGCAAACAAAAAACGGTCTACCTTCCATTCGTCCCAAGTCTGCACTAACACTATCTACGAGTACAAAGATCTTCAATGAATAATAGACTTCTTTTTCTCACGTGAGAAAAAGGAGTCACAAAGGGGTGGTGTTTAGTCCCTAAGTGAGTGGATAATGGGCACCCCTATCCTCCAATAGGCACCCCTTTGTGACTGCTGGTTTATTGTAAAAGTACGATCTTCGTCTTTACTGGGTCCAACTGAGTCCAACGCTGAAACGTTCCAAGATAGTCTAAGTGACGGGTTGCGTAGGTGAAGCAGACCTTTTCAAACTCCAACTTGCCTTTGCACTCCACGGGATCCAGTAGTCCATCACTCTGTGCCTGGGGCGATAGGACCAACACCGGACCACCACCGTCCCGGCACCCCAGCACCGTCCGTGGCCACGGGCCACGGGCAACAATTACTTGCCATGGAATGTGCGGATGGGTTCTCACCGACGCGATGTAGTGAGGTCCCCTAGGGTTTTACAGAGGTTGGGTGCTGCAACGCTCCAACTCCATGCCGGCCACTGGCGACACTGGTGATCACTATAGTGCAACGGGTAGCAGCTCAGCTCCACTGTGCGTCGTCACAACGTCACGACATCCAGCTCAGCTCCAGTCGTGTTCACAAAAAAGACTGAACCCACTTGGAATTGCTCAAGGAACTGTGAAAAGAATAAAGGATTCGCTCAGTTCGGGAAAAGAAAACCGATCGCCTTGAGTCAAACTAGGCCGACCCCAAAAAGAGCGGCACAAACCACCCGTGGCAGGTTGCAGGGATGCGGTCCGTGATCTCAAAGATCTTCTGGGTCGCGCCAATGGCTGCGGAAAAGGCTGGCATAATGCCTCAGTGCCAGGGAACTGCCTGTGGGGAAGGGCGCGTCTTGGACCGAAACACCGAGCTTCGGCGTGTTCGCTCGAGTTGCGGCGGCGTGTTCGCTCGAGTTGCGGAACTCGAGCGGTTTCAGGTCTCCAAAGTGGATGGTTGCTAAAATGGAGACTTCAAAGTGGCAGGTGGTGGCCGAAAAAGAGTCGAGTGCTAGTAGGAAAACCTTTTCTTTACAAGGATGGTGCTGCAGGTGTTCGTCCTTCACATCAGCGACGGCTGGACCTATCTTGGGCTCGTACTGCCAAGCATTGCCACAGACCCAGACAAGCTGACCTTGGCCAGCCGTGGCATTGAGAGGGTGACAGTTGCAGCACTTTGGAAATCCACAGAATCGTAGCAGGTTCCTGGCAATGCCATGATCTGACCAGGATTTAAAAACAATACTTTAACAAGGACCCAGAAGGAGATCCGAGTCGGTCCGGTTTTCTCCATTCCGACGCGTGCAGATGGGACTGGACCGAACATGGCCGTCCCAGAAAGACCTCTGAAATCCATCACTCCTGGCCGAGAAACTCGGGAAATGATGGTTTTATGTCATCGATTTTAGACTATACAACAAACAGGTCAACCTTCTCTTCCTGAATGGTCGAACTGAAGGCAACAGGGGTGAGTCTGTCCACAGAGTGTCCGAACTGCTGCGCCTTTTGAACGAATCTGGGGAAAAACTCGCCCAGAATCCGAATGGACCCGACCTCTTCGAACCCTCTAAAACAGGGGTTTGTACCCTCAAACAGCTTGTTTGGAGGGTCCGGATCCTTAGGGCAGTCACACTCGGTTTGGAATTTGCAGATGGCAACAGTGCCTAAGAATTCACACCCGTTTTTTGGGTTCAAACCCAAACGCTCCCAAACGCTCCATATGGATAGGAGGTTTGCAACAGTGCTTAGTAGTACATAAGAGAATGGCTCACGGAGTCGACCGGGGTGCTCACCTGGCTCCCGAGCAGTGAAAACACTCACGGAAGCGTCGAAGAAAAGCACCGAGAACCTCTCTCGTCGCACCGACAAGAGGCCCCAACCTGTGAAATGTTCGCTGGGCCCTTTTCTAACGGACCTTCCGAAAGCCTATAGCCTTCAGTTCAACCATGATAGAAAGGTTGGCCAGGTGTTGAAGTCTAAAGTCCTTACCCTAAGAATCCGGGCCCTCAAATAGACAGGGTTTGGTTCGGGTCCAGACCCCTGCTACGGAGGGTCCGACCCCTGTCATGGAGGGCCCGTTCGGATTGTTAGGGTAGAAAAACATCGCCCAACCCATCGCGAAAAGCGCCTCCCCCCTGGTGGGAAGGTGGGTGGAATCCGCCTCCGGCAGATGGAGGACTGAGGACGGCACGGTGTAGAGGACGAAGGAGATCAAATCACCCGACTGCATCTCTCCTCGCTCCACGAGACCGGCGCCTGACAAAGTACAAGGACCGTTCGGACCCGGGAAGGATGGAAGACCCGGGAGGAGCGCAGAAAGAAAACCTGTCTTTTTTGGGGGGGGGAGGGGCCTGAGATTCCTGGACACCATATTTATTATATATATAATTACATACTATTAAGCTATTTAAAATGTATATACCAGGACCCTCACTGCCAGGTCACCAATTGAGACCTGTTAGGGCCCAACAACACTGAACTAACGACCTGTCGGAGGATGCTGGTATTTAACCAAACACTTATTTACAATGCTACGCTAGAAAACCGGGTCAACCAGTCTTGACATGCAGTCTTGGAACGCGAGTGCGGCTAGAGTAGCATTAGATCGTTCAAAAGCTCTGCTCTCCGGAAGTGACTAGGTCGACCTATACCCAAACATCCCTCCATGTATGGAATATTTACCTATACATTGACCCCTGAAACTCCACCAACGTATGCAAGTATGCCATGGAGTGTCTGGGATGTGGAGGGGTCGACCGGGTTCTCACCTGGCTCCCGAGCAGTTTTGAGGGAGCCACCCAACATAAACCAGCACCCTCCTGGCTAGGCCGTTTTGGGACACTGACGAACGAAGATGGCAATGGTGCTCCTGTCTCACCATGAGTTCAGCTTGGTGAACATTAGTGAACCAAATATTGGTATGGAAGATAAATAAACCCCAGCCTTTTTCTGAAGAGTGGCATTATCCAGGTAGGGGGATGAGTTTCCTATAGTTTTCTTATGTTCTCTTCATCCACCGTCTACCTCCGGCTTAAAACCGCCGAAACGAACGCTCCAAATCCGGGCTTCCCGGGCCGAATCGCAGAACAACTGTGAAGGCCACGAAGAAGAGGAGACCAACCTCAAGGATTGGTCCCTGGAACGAAGTCCGTTTGAAGATGTTGGGCAACTATACGGGCTACTTGTCGGGCTTGAACATGGACGCCAGACTCACCCGTATACGTAAGTCTTAGCGGCTTTTTGTGGTTTCGATGCCGAACATGTGCCGGCACCGCCGCATGAACCCCTATAGGCCTATAGCTAGTCCAGACGATTGTCGTGACCAGCGAAGTGTTCAGGACATTCCGAGTGACTCCGGTCACCGAGCCAGAACCAGGTCGCCCGAGTCAGGCGGCAAAAATAGACTTGAAAAATGCGGGGGGAAGCGGTACAATCTAGACCGGGAACCTCTGCAACCGTGAGTTAACTAATACGTGTACTATAGTATAATGGACTCACTAATGGACTGTACCTCAAACAACCGAGCTGTTTTACGAAGGATTTTAGACTACAACACCAAATAGACCATTTTTTAATGGTCTTGGAAGGCTAGGGTAGATGAATGGTCGTCACACAGGACTTACAGCTCTGAGTTTAAACAAACACTAGTTACTAGTTGGTACAACATCAACATACCTGTGAATCTCTTATGAAGTGAATTGTCCATGGCCATTCCAATGGTCCATGGCCATTCCAAAAGGTGCTCTCCAATTGTCCATGGCCATTGGGCTCCAGTCCGACCATTTCGAAGATGGGACAGGGGTGAGTGCGGGGGTCCAACTACCGAACCTGAGCATATGATTGGAGCCCTAAAAAGGGTCATTCTTAGGTCCGGATTCACTTAGAGCCTCAAATCTCTTGCGCAATTCAGTGACCGGGACCTCAACCGGTCGGAGCCGACCCAAAGCGCTCGCAGCTTTCAAAGAAGCACCACCCCAGGGCCCAGGGACCCAGGTTTTCGTTGGACCTTTCCCCAGTGTTTTCCCTGTGCTTTGGTTCATCCAGACACTTCAGACACTCCATGTATGGTACTATGTATTACATGTATGGTATATATATATATGCCTACATGGCCCCTGAAACCACACCAATATTCTATGTATTTAAATATGCCAGTCCCAGACAGGTCGTGTCTGGGTAAGAATCATCCTTTCTTCAAATGGTGCAACGGTGCCATTCTTCCACAGCTGCCAGGTCCTTCGAATTCTTCGAATGTCGTCTCACAAAGTGGCATACATGAGCATCGCACCAGACCAAGTACCACCCCAAAACAGACCCAAGTACAATCCCAGAAATCATGATGAGATACCAAACAGTCCAGGATACCAACGTTCATGGTTTTTTTCAAATCGACCCTTGTTCTATCTTGTTTTACTATGTTTACTACAGATTTTAGACAACACCAGGGTCGATGCTCGTCCAACGGGCGAACGGAGGGTGCCAATCCCGGTAGTCCAACTCTCTCTGTTTCACAGACCCTCGTCATTTCGGGTAGCCGATTCCATCCCCCAGCTAGCTTAGCTTGCTGCAAGGGTAACTCCAGCCAACGCTGAAGCGCCAGGCTTTCGTGAGCCACGCCCCCACGCGGCTCCGTTCTCGGCGCTTTTGCAAAAACGGGCTCCAAGGGGCGACTCCGGACCAAGCTCCGTAGATCATGGACCGCTTCCTTGGATTGTTTGGAAGTCGGGAAAAAGACCTATTCCCCAAGCTGCTTTGGGGATTCACCCATGGGGAAAAGTACAAAATCATGCTACGCAAAACCAGGTGTCCAGCCGTAGAGGTAGACTTGATCACTCGCATCACCTGGAGCAGCGGGGTGACTGAACGGTGTCTTGCGCAGGGTCACCGCGCCCAAAGCAGCGGGTGCATGGGCGCAAGGCTGCGTCCATAAGCAGTGGGTGACGAGTCGACGAGTGGTACAATGAATTGTTTTAGAACATGCTGCAAGGGGGATGGATAGACGTGTTTCTAGATCAATATATATATATATATATATCAATAGCAGCTTGGTGGTCTAGATAAATGGGGGGCCTGAAACGGAAATCATGGCAAAGAATAGCAAAAATGATAAAGATTGTGAGCATCTCTATTTTGGCATTAACAAGCAGCAAAGACGACCACCAAAACACCAAGGTGTTGCAAGATGCATGGTATGTTGTGGCCAAAATGCCACCCAATTTGGGATCACCAATGAGGCTTGGCAGCAACCGTCTCACCTCAAATCCCGTACAGTTTGACACTTATGGCCCACTTATGGCTCATGCCCACCACATACCACCACTCTCATCCCCCCAAACGACCCACCGAGCTGCAGTATTTCTTCTCCATGAGCCTCTCCCCGCTTTGGAAGGCGCGCACCGTGCGCAGATTCCCGAAGGTCTCCGAGGCAATGTTCCCGAGTTCCGCCGTCCTCACACGAGGAGCTGGTTTCGGAGGAACTGCCGGGAGGTTGAGGTCTTTTGAAGGTCCATAAACCACAAAAACTTTCCCAGGCGCGAAATCTGGCCCCAAATCCTTTGGAGGGATCCGACCCGGTCCTGTAAAGGGGGTCGGATGGGGGTCTCAAATCGCTTGGTTTTGAGATGTTTTGAGGGACCAGTTGGGCTGTTTGGAGCGGGATCAGACTCATCTGGCATATCAATTGTCTCAACTTGCCAGACGTCTCATCTTGGTACTTCTTGCTCACCTTCCGCTGAAAGTGGCCCATGATTGCAGCCAGAATGCTGACCTTTTTGAGCCGATCGATTCAACATAAACAAAAGCTGAGTGGCTCTAAACACAGTTTCTCCGTTTCTTCCCTACAATAGACATGAGAATCACAAATACATGCTGCCTCAAACGTGTCTGGAACATCTCCAAGCAAGTTCCAGCTGCACAGAAGGTATGTGATGTAGTTCTTCCATGTTCTTCCTTCAAGTAGCAAGCAGTATCAATATAGCACTTATGAGACCCCCAGCTGCTTGGATCTTTCAATGCGGCTTTATGTTTCGTCTTCATTCATGCGTTCAAAACACATCTCCGCTACAGCTTGAAGGCGGGACTCTGTTGGCTGCTGGACTCTGTCCAGTAGAGGAACGTATGTATGAGTTCGTTCTACTAGGTAGCAAATGCCCAAAAAAGAACCGAGGATCCCAGTTACCACTAATCCCGGGAACCATTTCTTTGCTTTTGGTCGAACTGGAACCACTGGTGACCAGCGACATCGTGGTAACATGTGGCAACTGGATCCCCTGAAAGAGACATGCAACACCTTGTGAGCACTGTAGATTTGGGTTGATTCGTTTGGAACACGAGTTTCCATGTCGACTCATGGTACCCGATGAACATCGGAAAAAACGTTCTTGACGTCAGCGTCAAGACTGGTCCAATCTTCTGGAATAGGAGGGTGAACGGCGTGAATGGCAAAGTCTTTTGCCGTTGGGCCATTGAGTTGTGGCAAGTCCTTTTCTACGAACCGTATACGAACCGTTTGGTTTGTTCTACACCAAAAAAAAAGGTCTCCTTTGCATCATCAATGGTTCTTCCTTCTCCCCGTCCGTTTTTGTGCCGCTGGCATCTCCTTACCACTCGACCTCGTGGCCAAGACACCACAGGAACAGTGGCCAACATGGCCAAAGTGAGCTTCCAGCTGGTCACCTTCGTCCATAAAAGCACGGTCGAAGCATCGGGTTTCGCCGTTTTAGACAATCGGAACCACAAAGTGAGGGACGTACGAGGCGTGCAAAGGATTCACTGCACCAAATGGGAAGTGACACCAAGGACATGGTTTCAAGTTTTGAGGCAACAGGATGCTAGTGTGTGTGTGTAAAGATCATGTTGAAGTCCTTGGCAAAACATTTTTTGTTTGGTAAAGACTAGGAAGGACCCTTACAACAATCGTTGGCCGGGAATCCTAGGGAGGAACAAGTTGCTAAGTGTTTGTGATCCCACTGCTTTCATGGGGATTCAGTTGGCCATCCCACAGTTCCGTACCCGTTTTCAGAGGTCCAAAAGAAAACCGAAAAAGACTTCGATTGGTGTACATCAAACCGAGACTTTGGCTGTGCCATGGTGCGCCCCATACCTCTAGGACCCTGAAAAAGGGGTCGCTCGACTAGGTTGCATACTCCGGGGAAAAACAACGGCCGCCAAAGCAAAAGCCGATATACGATATTTTTCAATATAAGTCATAATAAAAAAAATAAATACATCGTGGGTCAGGACGCGTGGGGAACTAGCTATAGTTTCGACACCTATCGCCGCAAACCCTCAAAAAACCTAAGCGAAAAAATTGCATGGGTAAAACAGGTAGTATGTAACGCGGTCTGACCATCAGCGTTCCAAAGTTCGAAAGTCCCAACTCTCAACAAGTTCCAAAACCGCAACGAAGGCGACGACGAATGCACATCTGCAGACCTGAATCATCCTGCAACAGCCTGAGGGGTTAGAACATTCACAAACTGCAGGTACAGGAAGGTGATCAGCCTTCCCCTCCCATCCATGACCGTAGATTCGTTGCACACGGTGGGTCATGGATGCCGCGTGCTCCTGCAAAAACATCAAAAGATTCCCTGTGACTCCAAGGGTTTCACACAGACACGTTGATTTGCCAAGTTGGCTTGAACTGATCAACAGGGAATCGACCACGAGGTTTTCACCATATTTCCGAACAGCAAAGCTTGGGAGTGTTCTATCATATAGTATGAACTTCGCAGCACATCGAAGCATGTCCCAAAGCAGGTTCCGGAGCAGTTCGCTTAGGTTCCGGAACAATTTCGGGAGGGGTTGCCTATGAGATTCAGGAGCAGGTTCCGGAACAGGTTCTGGAGGCTTACTTGCCGAACCGCCTGGGGAATACACGTTCAGCTTTTGCATCCCTGCTGCTGCATATCACCTGGGCACGCCCCACTAACCCTTTTAATCATCCGCAGATGTTCTCCACGATCTTCAAATCTTAACGCTGCTGGATGTCAAATGACGCCGCTCTTCGCCTGAGCGACAGACCACAGAAAGAAAGCGGATGTTTTTACATATGCAGGTTCAGGTGTGGGTTTGCATGCGGCGGAAGAGCTATCGAACTTTAAGGCGCCAAAGGTTTGACGAATCGGCGTTCTTTGCACTTGCCATGTTCAGGGTTCACGGGCTATTTCTGAGGACATTTTGACGAGCCAGCAAGCAGAACCATGCCTGAGGATCCTTTTTCATAGCGCAGCCTTGAATTCACCCCTTCCAGAATAGCGGCTTCACTTGCCCAGCTTTCATTGTTGTGAGAAGATGATGAACAAAATCCAAGCCCACAGACCATGCTTTGGAGAGTGCGGCGGTTCAAGGTGCGGGTGTGCAGCTTCACCACGCTCTCTCAAGCGCAAACCACCAGCACGGATGGCCAAACCTCCTCGCAGCTTCGAGACGGAGCATCCAGGGCCGCGTGGTTGCGGCGGCGATCATTGAGTTGTGAAGATCGGGCAGCGCCACGGATCAGACTCAATGCCTTGGCTGAGTCTTCAAGAGCTGCCACCAGCTCGCTTGTTCCAAACTCAGAACGTCAGGGTCTATGAGTTCAGACACACGTTCTTTAAGCATGCGCGTCGGCGCGAGAAGATCTTTCAGCGCCCATGCACCTCCCCTGGCAACGCAATCAACCTTGCGCTAGGTTGTGCTCGGCCCCTGCGGTGGCACTCAAACTGATGTCCACCTTGTTTGAGAAAAACATCCCTGCAGAAAGAATATCCCGGCAAGAGAACCCACACAGTGCGTCTGAAGGCCCAAACTCTAGAGTGTAGAAACAAAAGGTCTAGAGATCTAGACGTGCTGACAGGCTCCTGGCATGCTGACTTGGGTCACGCTAACAGGCACACACGTTGTCACGCTGAGATGCAGCCGTCGGGCCACACTGTGGCGCTGACAGGCTCCAGCGCGTTTTCCAAAGCAGGTTCCCTGGTTCTTGCTTGTTGCGGCATTGTCATTAGTTGCATGTGGTGTGTCAGCACAGGTGCTATGCCAACATATTGCCGTATTCTGATGCTCGCATGGCACATTGCAAAGGCTCACATTTACGTGTTTTGAGGGGGAACTCGTGATCTTGCCATTGCCTAGTAAGCCGATTCATGCTCAGCTGCTAGGGACTTTTCCTTGGTTAGGGGAGGGATCAAGAAATAGTAAGAATGCGAACTCCGTGGCTGATTCTCAGGGGATGACTCTGACTTACTTGATCAAGCTCTCTTATTCTCTTCAGCGAAGACCTAAACGAAAAAAAACACACCGAGTTCCCAACAGTTCCCGTTCCTCCGCGAGTTCGCTCGCTCCCTTATCGCCAAAAAGGCGCAAACATCACGATCAAGGACAGCAACAGGCTAGAGCTGCAACGAAGGAAAATCGAAATGTTGGAGCTCGCCTCGGAGAGGTTCCGCAATGGAAAACCGGACGTTCGCGAGTCTCAACTTCGGAGCGAACCCCGAGTGGAGCCCGCTAGGGAAGCATCCAAACCTATTTGGTCAAGGGGAGTAGAGGGGGTAGATGGCCAAAAAAGAATCCGTCCTAGAATAAAGAAGGTGTTGACCGGTGTTGTGGTCCAAGATCCTGTGCCACAAACCATGTAAAGCAGCTCGGTTCTGTGCTTAACACCCTAAAGTCCATTTCGCGGGTCAGGAGTTGATGAACGGCCGCTGGCCTCTGGGATGTCTGGTTGAAGAAAGTTACACTCATGTGTCCAACGACCTGCCAACGACCTGCCCCACTATGGCCCACCACTCACACTGGTGGATGAACTAGATCTTCCAAGTATGCAACACATATATATATATATAATATATATATATAATGACATGCAACTATGTATATATTTATATAATGCCTTTTCATCTAGCAAGCCAGCCAAGTTGGCAAAGCTGGGCAGAAATTTTGCCTCAGTTGGAAGATCCAGGTATGGTTCTTGTGAAAGTGCAGTACCTGGAAGCAGCGCCTTCGACCTAAACCCCTCCCCAACCCTGGTAAGTTGACCATGTCTGGTAAGTCCATGGTTGTGCTAAAATCACCTGAAAATCGATCGGGTCAGGCTTCAAGACAACCCACAGTCGGAAGGCTTCCTGGCCGACCATTCGTTTTATATGGGTTTAGTACCACAGAACCGAGCTGTTTTACATGTTCTACTAGAAGGACTTTAGACTACAAAGCTGGGTCACCCTTTTGCTATCGTTTTTCAACCGTCGAACAGTTCGACCTCTGGGCATGGCCATCGCAATCCCCACGGAGACATCCCGGCCGAGTCCGATTCCGCATGCCGCGTCGGGGCACGGCGTTCTGCAGGGTCTGGGTATCGTTGGTGAGTCTGGAGACCAAGGCCTTGGTAGCCGAAGCCACTCTGACTGCAGGTGGCCGAAGCACTGTGACCGAAGGTGGCCGAAGAAGAAGGTCTAGTCGGTCGGTCTAGTCGTTTAGAGACCCATATGGAATGTATTCGAAGTCAAGGATGGGAAGTCATGGACCACGGACCAGGCTTCTAGCCATTGATGTAACCTTTTCTCGACAACTCTTCAGAGTCCATGACGAGCTACTCCAGTGGTCTGCACATCAAAGAAAGCCACTTCTTGACGGAGCAGTGCATGAAAGACCTGGCTGACCAATGGTACCAAAAACCCCGAGCGGCTGAGTATGTGCGGTCATGCCATGCGCATGCCATGTGTGCCGGCGTCGATTGCGACTGAGTTGACCTTCCTGGTTCAGGGAATGAGCTACGAACTTCTTACCCCAAACGAATCCAGACGGGCACTCCATGCCGGTCGGGACCCGACCTTTGGCAGGCGGTCTGGACCCAAACCAAGCCCTTTCTATTTGAGGGCCCGGATTCTTAGGGTTTCATCTAAATCATCAAGGCCCAATACAAAATGGGCAAGAACAAAGAAAGGGGTAGGGGCACACCGTTTTTCCACCCTGTCTGTCCTCCATATGTCATCTATCCCTAGGGCCTTAGGGCTCCAGTTGTACAAGGCCCCAGTACCTCCCCAAGCTCGGTGTGACTGGACCCTCCTGCACCCGGGCCCTGTCCCACCGAACCGAAACGAAGGTACGACTGGAGCCCGTGCCGGGCATATGTCCCATGGTCCTTCAGAGTGCGGAGAAAATTTTAAAAAAACGATCCGTCAAATGCAACAATCCTTTCAGCCAGGTGAGCATGGGTGACTCACATCAGTGCAGGCTGCATCACATGCCTCGTTCAATGAGATCTTATCCTGAACCACCACCCACCAGGGGCCCTCAAAACCATGAAAAACAAAGGTTTTCACATACAAAAACCATGTTTTTCCCCAAACAGTGTGGACACACTAAGGGCTCTTACGGTAAGGGTCCAGCACCGGTGTCTAATCGGAGGTGTCGCGCGGGCGTGTACGGCTAGTCGCTGCTATTTACAGTACATTCATGCCGCTGGAAATCCTGGAAGTGCATTACGACTGCGCAGGGTCGCAGAATCTGGGTGTCCGCGGCGGGTGCTTCTCGCGACTGCGCTCTCGTTGTGGCGCCGTGCGTATTTCGGACATGGTGGTCACTTTTTGTGGCAGGCGCAAGGGGAACCTTGTGTTTCGGTGGCCAAATTCGACTGTTCGTGACAGGCGCAAGGGATCGGAGCGGTTGTACTTCGAAATGCAGATTTCGTGGCAGGTGCAGCACTGTGGACATGTGGGTGATCTTCGAGGCGCTCTGATTCCGTGACAGGTGCAGTGACTCGACTTTTGGACATGTGGCTCGTTTGCAGATTTCGTGGCAGGTGCAGTACCTCGAAGTGCAGATTTTGTTTTAGCCGCCGTGTTTTGTGAACCTCGAAGTGCAGATTTCGCGGCAGGCACAGCACTTTGTGAACTTCGAAAAGTGCATATTTCCTGGCAGGCGCAGCACTTTGTGAACCTCGAAGTGCAGATTTCGTGGCAGGCACAGCACTTTGTGAACCTCGAAGTGCAAATTTCCTGGCAGGCGCAACACTTTGTGCTCTCAGATGCTCACTCTCACCCTCTCTCACTCTCACTCTCGCCTCACTCTCACTCACACTCACCGCCACCATTCACCACGATCTCCACCTTCATCACCACCATCACCTCTCTGGACCCCAATGCGTCTAGATCTCTAGACTTTCTGCTGCTACACCTCTAGACCTCACACACACTGTTTGGGGTCTCTTGCCGGGATAAGGGTTTTTGATGGTTTGTGGGGCCCCTGGCATTGATATATTACAGGTCTCCATGATATAGAGACCTACACCGACGATCTCGGACACTTCGGAACACCCGGAACCCGCCGGGGTTCGACGGGCCCGAGTCCGGTCTGGGCGCCGCACGCGGAAACCGCGAACCCGACGCTGGACACCCGTCCGGCACCTGCTTCCGCAGTTCGCGGACGATGCGTTCACCCGCCAGGACAAAGAGCATCCCTGGCCCGGAGAACACCACAGGATGCAGAGACATCGATTCGAGACATCGTCTCGGGCGGCGTTTTGGATCGAATCGAAGCTGGTGCTTTTGCTCGAAGCTGGGAGTCCGGTGCAGCGGTTTGGCTCGAATGTTACAGCAAGTGCTCCAGTCTTTGGACTTCTTTAGCTTGAAAGAAGAAGGAACTGAGCAGTCGGAGATCGGATCTTGCCCAAACACCACACTGTCACACACCAGAACCCTCCGGTATACCCCCCCGAAACACCCAACACCGGACGGTGCACCGCTGGTTCTGGTTCTTACACTATAGTTGTTGGAGCACGAGGCTCCGCACCAAGTCACATTGATGCGTCCCATGAAAACAGCAACCACTCCCTGGCAAACAAATAATGATGGAAGTGGAGAGCGCAAACGGCCCCCGAGTTTGGATGATTCTCTAGCCAAACACAGTGGCATTCACATGTTTTTCACTCCACAACATCCATGATGATTTTAGGGAGATCCAGGGAGACCCTTTTTCAACCACGCCAATGATCGGCAAAATCATGCAAAACAAATATATTCCATGCATGGAGTGAGCCTGGGTGATGTTTCCACGCTCCGCCACGCCAACACCGCGCCCCCGGACGCCACGCCACTCCGCCACGCCAACCACCACGCCACGCCACCCGCGGTTCGGCTGGGGGCCTCGCCTCGAATCATCGAGGTGATCGAGGAGGCCACGGCGACCACCACGATCTTCTCGGTGATCTGCACCGAAGCAACAGGCATCCAGGCATGTGTTGGCATGTGTTCATCCATATTTTGGGGTGTTTGATTGTAAAGGAATCAATGGGTTATAATATACCAGTCCCATTCGTCGTGTCTGGGATAGGCTTGGTGCCACCGGTTTCCAAGCCGACGGAGCCGTGCGGAGCCCCTGCGCTCTCCTGAGCGCTCCTGACGCCAGTGGAACGAAGCGGACTGTCAGATCGTTTGCGAGTCTCAGTTCCGTGCCGAAAGTGGGGGAGAGTACTTTCGTAGCTGTGTTTTTGAGGGGTGTCCCATTTTTCTGAGGTGGGTCAGTCGGGTCCAGGTCTCTTCAATATCAATGCTACATCCCACTGGTCACTTAAGCCGGCTTGTTCACCCAGGCTTGTCACTCGCCGCAAAAACCTGGGTCCTACATGTTCAAGGACCATCAGCGACCTTGATATGCTATTCGTTGCTATTACTGTCATTCAGTGCTGATTTCATTGAACATTTAGCTTCTCATCTCCTTCCTGTTCCGTCTTAGATCAGTCTCACTTACTTCCTGCAATGGTTTTGGGCTTTTGCAACCTGCAATGAACCCGTCTCTGGCGACATAGCGCTGCCGCAGCTGCCTGATTGAGCTCCTCGCTGGTGACGCCGGTGTTGCTTCCAACCATCTGCACAAACTGCCCGCCAAAGTAGGGCAAGAGGATGAACAAGCCACCTAGGTGTGTATTGAAATAAGGATATCCTCCCAATTCGATCCCCTGAAAACTAAGAATAAAAAAGATCCAAGACCCAAACAGACCAGTCTACCCATTGGTAGGGAGATCTCCCTATTCCAAGACATGCTGTACTCGGAAATGTGTCCAGACCGAACGAGACATGTCCTTCGCGGCTCCGAATGAGAAGAAGCACTTAGAACTACCAGCCGTCCCCCCCAAGCCACAATTAACTTCAATAAGCGAAGGCTCTTTTGAAGGCCTCCTCTCAGCGGCTTTGGTCTGAATAGACCGTTCCTTCTATTGGAACTAATCTTGGATTTGCTTGTTCGGAACTGGAAACAAAGTCTTCTGCAGAAGGGGATTCATCCATAGGGCACCTTCCAAAAAAAAAACTAAGCAAACCAATATCCACTGGTTTCATACCAGCTGCCTTCCCAATCCCGAAGCGAGGTAGATGGGGTCCGTGGATCTGTCGGGCACCAGGGCTGGGCGCCATGGAACTCCCCGAGTCATCCTGTCCCCCCCCTGCCTGGAGATCCCGAAGAAGTAGTGGGCTGGGGGGCGTCCAGCCAGGATACTCAGACAGGATGACCCAGGTAGCTGATATTCTTGGGTTCCAGGACTACTCAGGACTACTCAGCTCACACCCAAACCAACCTCAAAGGGATCCAGAAGAAGGCGAACCCGTTCGCCCAAAAAAAACAGCGAGCAAGCGCTGTTAGGGCACTGTTGAGAAATAAGCAGAAGGTGGCTGGAATGAGAATCCTTGACTCGCCAGCGGCCAACTTCATGATTTTACCTCGCCAGCGAAGAAGGCCGGCCGAAGAAGGCGGCCCCTTTTTTGGGACAAGACGAGCTCGGGCCACCTGGAAGATCGAACATTTGCCCGAACCAAACCATGAACAACACAGGTTTTTCATATACAAAAACCATGGTTTTTTGCTAGGTCAAACCAGGTTTTGGATGGGCCAGACCGTGGGCCCCACCAGTGGTGGTGCCAAAGATTTGGTCGAATTGGACTTCGGGAAAACGGGTGTCTTTTCTCAAACATCCAGCGCGTGGGATGTTAGAACTGGCAGCAGAGTGAGGATCATGATTGCTTCTCTATTGCAAAGTCTACCATATTTTCCCATAGGGTCCAGGTACCTCCTGAGGATGGTCTTGAAGGTGAAAGTACTTCCAGAGAATGGTTGAACGGGGGGTCAAAGGACATCCGATTCGGATGGTCCTGGACCCTTAGGGTTTGTATTGTTTCGTTGTTCGTAGCCGTCGTAGGATGTCGTAGCTGGTCAGAGCTCGCTCTCTTCCGAGATCTGAGGCTCTGAAACCAAGTACCTGGAGGCGAGGAATGTACCTCGGACAAATGAGTACAAGTAATTACCCTTCTTCTATGGGGTCCTGTCCAATTTTCTAAGGTACTCAGTCGGGTCCGAATAGACGTGGGTGCTTCTGGCTTTGACACTTGGGGGGTTTCCCAGTCGTGAGCTTCGCTTCCCCGACTGGTCCTGCGATTTCAGTTTCAGGCGAGTTTCACACACGAGGCAACACAAAGGCTTTGCTTTTTTTTCTGAGTTACCCCCCTGAAGACTAACTAACATGGACCTTGAAAACCACTGGTTTGTAGAGGAAAACAGTCAGTCTTTCAGGGTGGCATTCTCAGGATCCATGTGAGTTTTCGGGAGTGTTTGCTGTTTAAAAGCCCTGCCAGGATGATGGAAGGCTGGCTCAAAGCCCCCCAATACCGGTTTCTCGTCCCGGGTTCAGTATTTTTCTGAAAAACAAACAAACAAAAAAACCATGGTCAGCCCAGGGACCGGTGGGTGAGTTCAGTCGGGCGAGGTATGCTCCAAAGCATAAGGAAGCCGTGGAGATGAAAATCACCACCTCGAGCGGACGATGAACAGCTGCGGATGAACAGCTCGAAAAGTCCGCACAAAGCTTGCTTGGTACTGGTAGCTTGGCTCTCAGGGATTGAACAAAAGGATACATATATATATATTATATATATATATACACTGTATACGCTGTGTATATAATGGATTATAATGGCTTCTCTCTCTCTCTCTCTGTGTCTTTGCTGGCAATGTGGCAAAGTCAAAGACCAAAGGCACACCTACAAGAAGGAAAACAATACCATATACCAGGACCCTCCAAGGGGTGCCCAATGGAAGCATATAGGTAGTGTGAGGTAGTCCAGCCAGGACACCCCGACAGGAGGGTCCAGGAGGCTCCAGTGCCAGGTCCCTCCAATGGCAACTTCTGAAGTTCATCATGTTCTAGTGGATTGAGAGTGGATGGCACAGTAGCCCCCAAGTAACGGTGCTTTAGTAGTGGACTACTACCATCTGTCTATAGGACATCATGGGGGAAACGTGCCATCGATATGCCTGAAACCACTGTAACTGATCAGTGACTGACCAGCTGACAGAGCAGGGTTCAGAAGGCTCTTGAAGGCTGTTAAACTTGGACGGACATAAGGCTCCCACTGACTTCAGGTCGCTTCGGGACCTGTTTGTTGAGACCCAAATGGCCCTAAAATCATCTAGGCCTGGGGGGTTCAGGAAAGACCAAAACTGGTCGCTCCGAGCTTCCGGCTCCTTGTTTACATCGATATGTGGAGACCACCGGCTCCTTTGCTCCTTTGCTCATCGCACCAGCTGTCGATATGTTTCGACGAGCTAGGCATCAAAGGAATGCAAAGGCCCGTCGGAAAAGACATCCACCTCCAGGTGCCCCAAAGGCCCTTCGTTGTGACGTGACCAACATAGCTGGCAGTCATAATCTGACAAAATTGGACTCTCTCAGGTATATGTGAATACACATAAGCCAGTACATACTGGAATGGATGCTCCTAGGTCGTCTGGTATGTCTGGTTCAAAAAAAGATGCGCACAAGCCGAGTCAAGCCACCAGGATCGCCACCACTGCAGCTTCCACCGTAGTCACGCCCTTGGGAAGAGACATGCCACCACCACCTGAATGGGGAGACGCCAGTTTTTCACCGTCGTGAAACAGGGAGGACCCCAACCAGTTTCTTTCCTTTACGGGGTCATTGGAAGGTCCCCCTACTTTGATATATCACTTGTGGCCAATAGACAACCGGGAGTCTTCAAGAGGCGGAGGAAGCATGACCACGAGCTTGATGGTTTAACCGAATCGGTTTTGGAAGCTGGCTTAGCCTGCAGAATCTCTGGATTAAGAATCGGACGGCCCAGAATCTGCACACCTTCAAACACATAGAATTTGGACGGCCCTTTTCCCCCTGCGTTTCGAGGTCGGGTCCGACCCCCTGCCATGGAGAGCTCGTTCGGATTCTTGGGGGTGGCAACGAAAGATCTAGAGCTTTTCTCCAAACCATATCCCAGACGCGATATGAAACCATACATTGGGGTGGTTGATTTCAGGGGTCAATGTTGGCTTTTTCTACTAGTCCCTGTAGAGGGTATGAGGGATGCTGCTTTTCCTGTCAGGACTCTTGGCCTCGTAATAGTTTCTAGCTCGTGGGAACCCATTGTAAAACCTCCAACGACTCCAAAACGGGCCAACTTTCCTCATCAATCTTTCAATGTTCATCTTGCCTGTGTTTGTCTTGGGTTGGAGCCTAGCCTTCCGTCCTGGTTTTGTGGTGTAACATCCTTTTTCAAACACAATGTTTTGTTGGTATTAAAAAAGAAAAAACATCAAACCTCAAAACAATGGTGGGCCAGGAAATGCAGGGTTCATACAGGCTTGCCGATCATATTACCGCAGTCAAGTTTGGAAAACATGTCGTCTCCATAGTTCAGATGGTCTTTACAAAACAACCATTGTTTTATACTATATAAGGATCTTACTTTACAACACCAGGCCACCCTTTCCTTGACACTTTCTGATCATGAAAATGAAACACCACCTGTTTGGTCTTGGGAACGTCCATCCTTACAGGGCCATGGTCATCCTTACAGGGCCATGATGATTCCAGGGAGTTTGTCAGGGAGTGTTTTTGGTTTTGGTTTTGTTGGATGAACTCCTCATCTGAATCCTCTCCTCGCTCCAACAAGACAACCCCGGCCTGGAAACTTGAAGGATTCCTCAAGCAAAAACGGCCGAATGAAGCATGAGGACGGGGGTGTTCCCCCACCACAGCCTTCGAGATGAAAGCTGCAACATTCAATTCTATTCAAAAAAATATGATGTGAAGGCCCCAAATGGAGAAAAGTACGTCCCCTAGTTCAGCATCTCGGAGAAACGTGAAACTCCTCCCGTGGGGGGGGGCACTCTTGTGTCGGGAACAAACTGGTGTGAGCTCAAAAAGAGGGTCAACTGATCTGCAGGTCACCAGGATCAACTGGTGGCTCATGGTCTCCAGATCAACCTCGTTGCATCATCTACCAGGTGTAGGCTGCACATGACTGCACACAATTCAATCCGCCAAATTGGGGAGACTTCTTGTGTCTTTCTTGGAGTACCCCGAACTAAAACGTGCCACATGGCACTTAGGTGACCTGCTACTACTACACATCATCCTCACGAGACTTTAATGTTGACACAGGACTAAGTAACCTTCCCTTATTAATCAAGCCCAGCTCGAGCCCCCAATACCAAACTAATTTATAACCTGAGTTCCACATGTACATCACCCTAATTAAAAGAATCCTAGCAGAAGCCACCCCCTATTAATCAAGCCCAGCTGCCCCAGAAAAGTAAATGTTATAGTTTACTAATCTAAATATGTTGTTTATACTGTATACTTTCTTTCTTGTCAGTATCCAACATTGTCTGGTCCATCCAGTATTGGCATCCACCCTCACCACATAGAGCCTCCATCTCCTATGCCTCCTCCATACTCTGATATGCAGTGATCCAATTGGCATGGCTCTCTGCTCTATCCTATCAGATCTCTTATCAAGCTTGTGTCAATATACTCAGAGCTCTCATGGTTCGCATGGTTCAAACTTTCATGATTCACACAGAATCCCATCAACCATCATCCAGCATCAGGTCCAGATCATCTCATCATCCATCATCAGGTCATCGCCTTTATTAAGGGGATGTGGTCTGTCTCCAATACCTCCAATCTCAAACCTTGTTGACCTTGAAGGGGGGATGATTAATCCGGTGTTGACATTACAATAATCTACCACCCAAAAACTCATGGACCCTCATAGGAGGGATTGCACCAGAATCCTTTGGGTCCGGGGTCTCAAAATCCCTGGATTTTGAGGGCTGTGAACGCAGCACATGAAATCTATCTATACCATCTATACTCATATCTCACTAGCAAATGGAGTGTAGTGAATAATTGGATGTTCCGTGAACATGACTGATTTTGCTTCTTTGCAACCCGCCCCTTGCCACGCCCCTGTGCCTCCATTTGCCGCTGTATGTATGCCGGCAACGCTGACACGAGCGGCCCAAGTGATGCGTCGAGGATATCCATGGCCTGAGTCTTTAGGATGGACCAAAAGTAAGTTCACCAGCCAAAGATGAACGTGAGCAAAGCCTGACAAAGGTGACCTGCAAAGCAACCCCCTTCACCACGTCCGCAGATGCTGGAGTCTTCCGAAGTTCATAGACTAACTTGACCCCCCCTCACCAGTCCAAATATATATATATATATAATACTTATATATATGCAATATGTTATATATATTTTTCCCGAATGCGTAGCGAAGGGTTCTCGTTTAACTCTGGGGGTCTGGGGGTAGAGTCTTGTTCGCGACCCGTGGTTTGTATGTTCGCAACCGTCCGCAACCTTTCGCAACCGTTCGCAAGTGCTTGCAACCGTTGGCCGTAGAACGCTAAGGCGCTGCCATTGGGGGAAGCTTTTGCAAGGGACTTTTCATGGATGTGTCACGTGTCAGTTTGCGCCGCTATTCCATTGTGATTCGCATGACAATGACATATCGCGCAAGAAACGTGATGCATTTCGCTGCACAGGCGCAGGTGTTTGTGAGATCCGCAGTTTGCTGCGCAGTTCCATTGGGATTAGCGTCAGGAGAGTCGTGTTTTTGGGGTGTTGGATGTGGCCGTGCCATTGGGATTTGCGTTGCAGGGTATGGCATCGAAGCTCTGTTTTCGTGACCAGTCTCAGCTGAAATGGCGATTTTGGTGGATGGGAGTGTGCTCGGAATCATTCCAAACGTGTGGTGTGGTACACGAGATGATATTGTCACTTTTCGTGGCAGGCGCAGTACTTTGTGTGGGTTTTGAGGCGTGGAAGTGCGATTCTCGTGGCAGGCGCAGGGAATGGTGAGGTTGCGAGGTGTGACGGAGGTGACATTTCGTGGCAGGCGCAGTACTTTGTGCGCGTTAGACGTGTGGATGCGGAAAGATTCGTGGCAGGCGCAGGGAATTGTGAGGTCGTGAGTTGTGGTAGAGGTGAATGTCGCTGTCACAGTGGGATTGGCGTGTGAACGGGTGTTGTTTGGAGGGGCTGGACTCGCGAAACTGCTTGGCAGGGCTGCGTGATGTGTGTGCTCCGATGGGTGTTTCCGCTTGACTTTTGGAGGAAGTCTCGTACGAAATGCTCCTTTTGCAGACTTTGACATGTGAGTTTTGGAGGAAGTCTCGTACAAAACGCTCGTTTTGGACACTTGACATGTGACTTTTGGAGGAAGTCTCGTACGAAACGCTCGTTTTGGAGACTTGACGTCGTGTGACTTTTTTGGAGGAAGTCTCGTACGAAGAGTGCCCTACAAGAGTGTCCCACAAGAGTGTCCTACAAGAGTGTCCTACAAGAGTATCCCACAAGAGTGTCCTACAAGAGTGTCCCACAAGAGTGTCCCAAAAGAGCGTCCTACAAGAGTG